ATTGTCTCTCTCTCTTTCGCCAATCTATTTCTGTTTGCAGACCCCGCATGCCATGCTGTAAACTCGCTAGAATTGCTTTTCTATGCCCTCTCATGTTGCGTGTGGGTAGACTTGTAAAGACTGTTGCTTTTTCCTTCGTGGTCAACTGAATATTTTATTTTCTCAATGTTGGCCATACTTACTGACCAGTTTGCAGGAAGGGAGGCCTACCCACTTTTTTGAGTCTTTCTTTATCCTTACCCCCCTTTCATAGTCCCCCTCATGCCGTCGACGCTTCACGGCCAGCGCGGATTACTTCAACATCCTTTTCTGGTACCATTGTGATCTTGATTCTTTGATCAATCCGATTTATAAATATACGAAGACCAAGACGTTGTGGCCTCTGTTATGGTCGCAGTCTCCTTCCGATTTATAGAAGTGGGTTGACCTTGTTGTCTCAACTTGGTCTTATTGTCAGGGCGACTATGTAGAACGCGCCTAGTCCGAAGTCGTCTGCCATTCTCGAAACGTTTGAGAATGTATCAAGTCCACTGTCAGATGCTGGGAATCATGGCAACTACTTTGGCAGACGACTTGGGACTAGTTGCGTTCTACATAGTCGCCCTGACAACAAGACCAAGTTGCGACAACGAGGTCAACCGATTCATAAACTTCAAGAAATCCTCCAATTTTCCTTTTCCACGCGACCAATTTGCGAAGTTGTCATCCCGGTACCGCATAAGCATTCTTGGTTGCTGTGTTGACATCTTGAAGTTCTCTTCTAATGTGTTCATGTATACATTTGCCAAGATAGATGAGAGCGGCGGTCTCATTGGAGGTCCAAATGTCTGTTCATAGACATTGCTGTTGGCAGCGAAGTAGGCAGTCCTTATTGCCAAGTTGATAAGTAATGCTAATGACTCCCTTCTGATACTTTCTGCTTCTGGAATATACTTTTAACGATCCAAAACTTCTACCAGAGATGTTTGTAAACACGAATTCTACATCGAGACTCACCAATAATTCTGTTTCTTCCAGTGTCCTATTTTCGATCCTCTAAGAAAATTCATATGAGTGCTTCACTGTGTCTTATAATCTGTCATTTACCTTCCTGAATTTATGATATATGAACTTTGTTAATTTGTGTGTTTCTCCATACCTGTGGTTGAATATCAGCCTTGCTGGTTCTCTTTATTCATGTAACTTCGGTTGTCGTGCGTCCTTTTTCATTGATGAATTTATTTTCCATCCATCGATCTACCCGTTTCTATGACTATTTTTCGGCATGTCGCGTAAGGTTCCATTTATCTTCATAGTCCTGTCCTTCTTTAGTGCACAATATGTGGTCCTGTCTCGTAGTATACGTTCCATCTTCCCGGTACATTGTTTTCTGTCCATTATCGCGGTCGCTTCTCCTTTGTCCACCGGAGGACCAATTGTGCATTTACTTTTTAGGATCCTGTCTATCCCCGCAAATCCGTTCATGTGTGTTGGTT